TCCCTGAGAGACGATATCCCAATTTCCGATTTTACTACAAGATAGGAATTAAAACATTACGCTTTGGCCCTATCAAGTTACCCCACACTCAATACTTGCTTGTCCCTCAGCAACGACTCAGACAAAGAACGATAATTGGAGGAAACACAACACGGACCAAATGACAACCTTGCTCAAAACACACGACCACGAAACACAAAACACAACATCAACACCATAAATTGGCCCGTTTATTCTTGTGATAATTTTTAATTTCTTTCTCAATTGATGCATTGTGCTTCAATGATCATCCTTTCACCCCACACTCAAGTTCCTTGCAACCAACCAATTACCATTGTCGGACTCAAATCTTATGCGACTTACCAAATTAGCAACACTCAATTTGATCGTCAGTAGCGGATAACTTAAGGTGAAAAAGTTAATAGAAAAATTTGACCACATCAGTGAGGTGCATATCTCGTGAGGACAATCTGGATTACTCACATCAATCATAAGGAATCAACTAAGCACAAGAGTCTCAAAAACACATGAGGGAAGCTTTTTAGTAAACTTGGTTTTAGCTTTAAGCACATCGCTACCTTTTCTGACAAGGAGAGTCTTTCTCTCTTTCTGATTTTTTTGCCGAGTAGTCATATTTAGTACAAGTGGGATTTGTTTCTTACTAATGGTGATCGAGCAAGAGCAATTTCTGCTTCTTAGCACTCGAATAACGGCTTCTTTCAACTTCTTTTCCTCGGTACGTGTGGAGAGTCAATGCACATTCTCAAATGGCACTTCACTCGACATGAGATTGTACTTGATAAGCAACATCGTACGGTCGCGAACCAGTGTTCAATTGAACCTTTCCTAATCCCCTCTGCAATGAGTGATTGCCTCACACGATTTTGGTACTTTACCCGCACTTTAATTGTTATGGAAACTTTCTTATATTTTACTGTCAGGTAGGATTTTTTCTTTTATAAAGATAATGTTCACCCCATCTAAAACATTCAAAAACAGAGAGACTCATTGGCAAAGTCATAAGCTCACAAGAGATGCAGGTAAACACGATATCCAAACATGTCGAATGGTCAATGCTCTCCACCTAACCACTTTACCATTAATACATTACATTATCCTCCTAAAAGAGAATGTTGCTAAAAGAGTTTGCTAATTCAAAGCATACCAAGTCAGTAAAAACATCAAGCTCATAGTGAATAACTTTGCAATTCAACATTAGTGGGGTGATTTTGATGATTTCATTCATGCAAAAATCATTTAAAAGGCATCCCGGTCATTTACATCACATTACCACAAGAGTACTAGGTTTTTTCTTCTTCTGATTTTTAGATGCTTTTTAGCCATTAGGTTAGCAGAGGCAGACTGCACCTGCACAGGTAGATTGCATGCAATTTGCCTGTGCACAACCTAATGGCAGTTTTTTGACTGACCACATGACAAAAGGAACAAACAAACACTAAGACTCACCACCCCACACTCAGGATGGAACATTGTCTCTAATGTTTAACTCTTATTCTAAACATGCACGAGTTTGACACAACTAAAAAGAAAAGAAAACTAACCTTGGGTTGCCTCCCAAGAAGCGCTTGTTTAGCGTCCTTAGCTTGACATTCATGGAGCTTTCAACCAATTGGTATTGAAAGGTATCCAGAATACGCTCCCGAGCAATGATAGAATGCATAACCTCCATCCAACATATGAGTCACCTCTGCAGGGTCAAGTGTGTGAAAATTTGGTATGACCTTCTTAGCTTGCATGTTGGACCCTTTAGTGAAGCGTAGGTGGTATTGCAGTGCCTCAAGCAAGTACACTTCCTGTTTCAATGTCAGTGAAGAAGGAATAATAACAGGAAGATTGAAATCCTTACCCAAATATCTATACTTGAGGTGACCTGGCAAGGATTTATGTCCTTGCTTTGATTTAAGGATTTGAGCTGATAGGACATGTGATAGTTCTTCGGGTGGTCCACTATCATAGGATGAGGAATTTTCCCTTTCTCGAGCTCCACTTTCAAAGTCATCAATGCACCGTGATTATGATCAACTTGAAAGATATTAAATATTTCCTCTTCCTTACCTACTCTGATTGTCAACTTGCCTCTCCCGATATCAATGAGTGCATCACCAATGGCTAGAAAAGGTCTACCAAGATGAGAGGCACTCTCTGATCGTCTGTCATCTCTAGAATGACAAAATCTGTTGGGAGAATAAACTTCCCCACCTTCACCAATACATTCTCCACCACTCCCTTTGGAATTTTCACTAATCGATCAGCCAATTGGAGAGTGATCCAAGTAGGCTTAAGAACATCTCCCAATCCCAATTTCTTGTAGACTGAGTATGGCATCAAATTAATTCCTGCTCCAAGATCACAAAGTGATTTATCAAACTCTGTACCTTCAATGACACATGGAATGGTGAAGCTGCCCGGATCATCCCTCTTTTCTAGTAGTTTATTTTGAATCACAACACTACATTCACAAGTAAGGGTTACCTTCTCTAAATCAGCCCATTTGTGCTTCTTTGTCAGCAACTCCTTTAAGAATTTAGCATATGCGGGCATCTGTTCAAGTGCCTCCGCTAGTGGTATGTTGATATGAAGTTGCTTGAACAGATTCACAAATTTCTTGAAATTTGGGTCTTCCATGGGCTTCATTAACCTTTGAGGAAATGGTGCGTGAAGTTCATAAGGTTTTACCTCTTTATTCTTGGATTTTTCCACATTTGGAGGTGCATAGGCAAAATGATCATGCACAGGCAAACTACATGTAGTTTGCCTGTGCAAGTAAGATTTTTCAGCTTTTGCACTTTCTTCATCATCTATCTTTGCATCTCCTTCTTTTTCTATTGGATTTTTCTTGCTCTTTGGATCCTCCAACTCCTTCCCACTCCTCAATGAGACAACTACAACCATGGCAACCTTTGGATTTCTCTCAGTATTTGCTGGTAAAGTCCCAGGAATTCTACCTTGAATATCTGCCAAAGTTTGAGCCATCTAGCCTATTTGCCTCTCCATAGCTAGCAGAGATGATTGCAAATTAATGTCGATATCCAACTGTTGAGTGACAGATCTATCCGAGCCATTCATATTATTATTTGTTTTCTGTATATGAGCCAAATCAACTCCTCCAGCTGGGGCTTCTTCTCAGGTTGAGGATGCTGCTGTTGAAAAACAGGAGGTGGGATGTTTCGAAAACCATCCGGATTATTAATTGACCAAGACAAATTGGGGTGATGTCTCCATTAAGAGTTATATGTATTTGAATACATACCACCCTGGCCTTGACTTCACGAATTATTGATATACTAGACATCCTCCAACTAAGCAACTCCAAGTGGACACATATCCCTATGATGAGCACCCTCGCAAAGTTCAAAAAAAGTGCAACTGAGCAACTCCAAGTGGACACAAATCCAACAAAAATGCATAGTCTTCTAATAGACTCATGGAAATCAAAGAAAGTGAAGACAAAAGTCATAGGGAGAGGAAATTCTCTCCCCAAGCCCAAGACTTGTACACTTCCTAAATCGTCTTCACCAACATTCAAAATATGTATTCTTCTAATAAACTCACCAAGATTAAGAGTGAGTATTGATCTTGTGCAGACCAAAGTAAAAAAAAAATTTAATGGCATCCAGGCCCACCACTGCCCCCTCAACTGGCGTGCCAACACAAAATCGTACCTTGGCTCACGATTGCCCCCGATAACGGGGAGCCTCCCCCGTCGGTGGGCCCGACCCCTCTACTCTCTCCACCCGGATCTTGCATGTGCATCATTGCTTCCGGGCCCAAGATCTAGTCTCTCTGCCGGTGCACTATTGCCCTGTCTTGATCCTGCCTAGGTACCCGGGATCCACCTCTCGCCTGACTTCAATTACCCGCCGGCCGCCGCTGCACTATTTCCCCGTTCTTAATTTTGTTCCTGACACCCGGGCTTCACCTCCTGTGTGACTCCCAACTCTAGGTATCCGACAACGCACTATTTCCCCGGCACCCGGGCTTCACCTCCCGCCCGACTCCTGCTACCCGTGGTGCACTATTGCCCCCGGGCTTTATTTTTCCTCCGGTGTCGGGACTCCGCCTCCCCCCGGCTCCTAGATCCACAGTTACTCCCACTCCCACCTCCTGGAACGTGGATCCATTGCTTGCCCTTTCACCTGTATATGTGGCATGCACTCTCATTAACTAGTTTCTATGTGGCAAGAGTTGGTTCATAAGGCAAAATCATAGTTGACAATGTACAACCACATGGCGGGCGCAGGCGGACCTCGACAACACATGTCTGGTGATGTGTCCATTCTCACCTCCGGCGCCGACACCTGTCCTCCCTTTGTCCCCTAAGTAAATAGTATAGATAACATGTTCATATTCTCCAGACGAAGGTAAGGCAAGAGACCAGGGGGAAGTACCCTGAGAGCGCCCACTACCATCAGTAACTCTCATCTTCGAGGCTCACCTCCTGCAAACACTTTGTGAAATATTTTATCCCCCAGACCGGAAACTAACTTGAGTGTCAGAGGGTGACCCACTGAGATCGCCGACGAACCTTTTTTTGCAGGAAGAGATTAGAGGCCACATCACTTAGAAAGGTTACGATGAAGGGGCACATCAAGCCGCTTCAGTGCCCAAGATAGATGAAGTCGACGTCAGCGACAACCTTGACATCAACAGTTGTATTTTACTTAAATATGAATGTGGCTTGTAAAGAATTCGTGTTGAGATATGTTTTACATACGTGATGTTACTAGTTTCTCACTTTTCTTATATATATTTATTAAAATCAATGTAAATCGATATATACCAGTTATACACAATCAAACCACATCAGTTGGTAAAACAGTGTATCGATATAAACCGGCTTGACATTAAGGTCACCAACCCAAAAAAATCCAAATTCCCCCCTTCTTTTACAACATGGTCTTAAAGCCCAGTGGGCGAGAAAGCGGATTTTTCAAAATGTCATTTGGGCCTAACAGTCCAATTCAACTACCAACACTTGTCCTCTGTGAACTTCTGCCGCCGTCGGATCAAACGCCAAACCCTAACCTGGAAAAAGAGAAGATCTTTCATCAGTAATCACGATTACTTTCGCCATTTTCCCCACTCCCAACTTTTCAACCGAAGAAATGGAAGTAAACATTTAAATCAAGTAGAATCAAAACACAAATTACGACTACCGTTGCAAACTTTCCACCCGGCGGAGCAATTGCGCGAATGGAGGACGCCGCTGGCGGCGACCGCAAGAGCAACGGCAAACGTAGAGATGAAGAACCGGACGGCATGTCCGTACACTCTCCCTGCAAAGCTCCTCCTTCTTCCGCTTCCTCTCTCCCTAAGGTCTGTCCGCTCCTCTCTCTCTCTTCCTTTTTTCCAGGTTCGCGTTTGGATTTCTGATGATTCCTTGTTTCGTTCGAGGATATCGCAGGAGCAATCGCAGGTCGAATTGGAGCTCAGGCTGCTGGAAGCTCTAGCGATTTATCCTCCCGTCAAACTCCGAGGTAAAGCTCTTTCGTATCCTTTTTTCCCTATCGTTTGGGATGCTTTTGATCAGAATAATTGGGTATTCATCGACGGGAAGCTGAAGTTTTAGATTCAGTTTGATCATGTAGCTAGATTTGCTTAGTGAAATATGTTGTTTGATATGATAGGAATGCAGGTTTTAGATAATTTCGCTCTGAATTGGGTGACTCGAGAGTCGAGATTAGCCATTAACGTCGGTTGTTGAGTTCTCTGCTGTGCTATGCCATTGAATTGTTACTCTGCTTTGCTTTCTCCTGCCACTATTCGCTTGTTTTGTTGGGGGAAAGTGTACCCTGGTGGTTTAATCCTGCTGGTATTTTCAGAAAGATTCCAGGTGAACGGAAGTCTGAGGCAAATAGTAATAGCTTCACAGCATTCTGATTGCGTGTATTTATCGAATGCTTAGGCTCACTAATGAATGGTTCTTCCTTTTTCTTCTTGCGTTCTGCAGGAATGCACCGGCATTTTGTGCTGTATGGTCTGATGGAATTTCTTCGGAGAAGGTTGTGCACACTCCACATTTTGAATCTGGTTTCCAACATTTGTAACAACTGCACATTGGTTACAGCTCTCTGACACTAGTTTTTTCTTTGCCGTGGTCACAGCTTTGATCGATATTTCTCTCCGGATGAGGTCATGCAACTGCTGGAACGATTCTATAACATAGAAATGCTGGTATATCACTCTCCATTTCCTTGTTAATAAGGGAAAAAGAGATGAGTTTAGGATATGACTTTTAAGATGTTGGGCAGTCACAAATTCATATTCGATTCGACCCAATTAACAAGCAGCGGGATATATACAGGAATGTCTTGTGGTATGTGGGAACACACTAACTGCATTGGTTTGCTCTTCTTTGCTAAAATTTGCAGAAACCGGACGATGAGGAGGCGGAGATGCTGAGCCAGGAAGAAGATTTCAGCTTGCCACAGAGCTATTTTGTGAAGGAAGAGTGATGAAACTAGTTGGCTTTTGCTACATTAATTAGTGCAGACGGGATGAATTGAATTGTGTACTTGCAAATCCTCTTCTTCTTTTTGGATTTTGCTTGGCTATACCGCCCTTCCAAAATGTACCTATCAAATAGCCTGTAAATAACTAAATATAATTAGCCCGCCAAAAGGAGCTTTGGTTCACCGGCCACTGTAGCATAGTGGTTCAAATCCAAATCGCTGGTGGAGTAGTGTAAACAGTGAAACCTGGTTAATAGAATGAGCACTAACTAACTTGTGGTAAATTCTTAGGGTGGCTTGTTTGTTGGGCTAGGATAATAGATTTTGTATCATATCCAAGTTTGATGGACTTAACACAAGTTCAGTGTTGTTAATGCGTGACAAACTTGTCAGATCCACAGATTTGGTCTTTATTTTGGATCCAAACTTGTCAGATCCACGAATTTGTAAATTCACATATGGAGTTGGGATTTGTATATCCTTAATGACAATTAATACATATATATATATACATATATATATATATAGGTGATTACTTCGGTGCACTCACAAAAATGAGTGCGTTCAATGCACCCAACTCAAAAACTAGTCTTAAGGTGTCGGATTTTGAATTTTAATTTGTAGAATTACTGTAATATGATGATATAACATATGATAACAACTAATTAGCGGATTACCCTAGGCCCTAGACCTCCAATTTTGATATCTATCCCTAAACCCCAAATTGTAAACCCTAACCCTAACCCTAAATCTCTAAACTCTAAATCCTTCAAATTAAAGTAAATCTTTTCCTCATACTTATATCATTAAATATATCATGCAAACAATAAATTTTCAATCCCTAATCGCTTGGAACCTTCGATTACAAACGTTGTATTCTCACTATACATGTATCCGGTAGAATATAACGTTTTTTTTACTTGATGTAATAACATAATGCATGTATTCATAATCCATATTGTATTCCTAATACATAGAAAATGATGTATACTGAATCTTACCTTTTTGGTGAGATTTTAGTATTCATAGTTCATTTAAACTATAACCCATGCATTCTTTAATGGCTTTCAAACAATGAATTTTCAAAACCACACATTCTTAGCATACACATAATCTTTAATACACACATTCTCGTAATACATCATTTCCCGAATCAAAGGTTCCAAACAACACCTAAATTCATCATAAAGCTCAAGGTTTTTTTTGCCCAAAAGCCTCATTTTTCAAATCCTACAAGCAAACGACCACTAATAATCGAGAAAATAACGTTAAAACATTTTAATATTTAACTGTTATGGTACTCATGAGAATTGCATTCGGTGTGGTTGAATCCGGTCCAGATGTTAAATAAGTATAATTGTTCTTACTATTTGTAGAATTCATGTGACTAAGGACCGCACGACATTATATTTGGTTTGGTCCGGTGCACATAGCTGTACATATGAGTCATCATGTAGTTCTTGTAACACCCTACCCTATATGTATTACCTAATCATATTGTTCATACAATTGCAGTGGAAATAATCTCGGGTGTCACATTAATTATCAAAATTTACCAAAATAAAATTTCGACATGAATTACTCGCGTAATGGGCTAACAGTTCTTCCATCTAATCCTGCAAAATAATTCATTTGAATCCATACATTCATAGACAAATATATATACTCACAACCATATGTATTGGCTTTTCAAGCCATAGTCACAGTTTCATACTGCACAACTGCATATACTGATACATACTATAATCATCACAACTTACACAGTTACACAAAATATACACATACCATCAACTTTCCACACCTGTGGATATCTCACACTACATCAGAAGCTAGTATGCACATGAAAAACGTTCTCAAATTTTTTTTACAAAAATGTGTGGATCACTGGCCAAAATCCCGAGTAGTAGTCCAAGCACAAAATAGTTGAACACAATACCTCATCCTGCCTTCAACTCCTCGCTCTGCCCACACCTAAGTACTTGCTACTGCTACTGCTACTGCTGATGATCTGCTTACACATAGCATAAGCAGAGGAAAAGAATAAAAGAGGGCCAGCTCATAGCTGAGTGAGATAATCATAGCATCGTGAGTTCATAACAGAGCATACCCCTACCATACATCTAGCAAACAAGCCAAAGCACTAGGATCAGACCTCAGCCATCCCACATCCCAATAGGCAAAAGACTCAACCACCTTGACTTATGCATGCATATGCGTCTTATAATGTTTTACTTATAGGCGCCTGACTACTCCCATGCTAATTACTCTCCCGGGAATACGGACCAAACATCTCGTGGATGTGGTCATATCGGACCCACCACTGCCGGTGTAGTCATATCGGACCTGACACCACTATGGATGTGGTCATATTGGACTCAACACCACTCTGGGTGTGGTCATATCTCTGGGTGTGGTCATATCTCATGATGAATCAATGGTCAACACCACATCAGGGGTGCAGCAGCGGATCCAGAACACAAAAGAGCACTGGGCCGCATTTCATTAGAAAATTAGAACCGTAAAAAAAATATAATGATTATAGTTTTTTGCACTGTAAATTGTACACGATTGTATTTTAATTTAGGGAATACATCAATAATGGAGTCTACATCCATACCAATAGTATACACTGTTTCAAATAAAATACTTGAGCAATCGGCGAGAAATTCATCGCTCATTTTGTTGAGCAAATCAGTTCTCACATGTTTCATTGTTGAAAAGGTTCTCTTCGCAGTAGATGTTGAAACGTGCAGCATCAATACTAGATAAATCAATCGACTAATCAATTTGCATTGTGTGTCCATCCCTGCACACCAGCTGCTTTAGTAAATTTTTAAGGGAACAAACTTCATATTTCTTTTAGTCTTTTAAGTTTTAAACTTTTTAGAATTTTAGGTTTCATTGTTTTTTTAGACGCATAATCTTTGGGGCTAAAATTTCTAGGCTAAATTTAGAGTAGTGATTTGAATATGTTCAACTTGATAATTTTTCTAGTTAAACGCAATCTTATCATAAAATAACACTGGGTCAAATGTCTAAAATCAAAAATTTCATAAGGACTATACTAACTACGGATCCAGAGGAGGGCTGGGCCGGGGCCCGGGGTGGCCACCCCCTGGATCCGCCAGTGCAGGGGTGTGACATAACATATCATAACGGAGTAATAGCATGGGGAGCCCTAATTACTATGTAATTGACCATGAGACCAAAATACTCATATTTGGTAATCTTATACATGATCCATATCTCATCTTGCTTAATCATAATTCGTTACTTGCACATGAACTTGACCTGGCATAATTGGCTCAATATAGGTAAATCAGGAGTCGTATAATTGCACTTTCTCGGGATAAACCCTCGTGCAAGTCATCCTCCTTAAAAATCATAATAACACCCTGGGAAGTTTATTTCCCCCACTTGTGAATCCAAATACAACCACAATATCACATCATGTCAAAACACCTGATCGAACAACCATGAAGTCATATTAACAGTTAAGCCACAAATGGCAACATGTATGCAATCATCAACATAAACAAGGTCCATATCGGATAGGGCAAGTCAATAATATCATACAACAATCCATGGTTCATCATATAGCATAAAAGTCCATACACCCCTAATCATGCCATTCTAATTCACCTAGGTCAATTCTAAGCATCAATATAATTATCGTGATACAACAAACCCGGTATGCCGTGCTAATCCCTCACCAATTCTGGTCGTTCAAACACCGGTTCTAGCCTCCCGTACCACAACTTCACTTTTCTCAAACAAGCCCGGAATCAAAATCCGGGATTGTCCTAATATCCCCTGCAGTATCCCCGTCAATGTTAGTTCTAGGCTCTGGGTCAAATTCTCGATAAAAACACATCAAACCCTGGCCGGAGCTAAATTCAGAGATTTGGACCCCGACCTAAATAATTGCCGAAATTCATGAATTAGAACTAGAGGATTGATTACCTCGCTGCAGGAAGCTCGTATATGAAATTTGGGCTCAATCCGGCTTCCGGATACTCCAAAACCCTAACTTGGCTTATCGGAAATTCAAGAAATTCCTGAACCAAAATCTCATTTTAAAGCTCTAAATCGATAAATCACGATGTATAAATGAATTAGGCATTACTTACGGGATTTTTTATTGCTAAAAGTTCAAAAATCGAACTCTTGAGATTTCCCCCCTCGCTTCCCCTGAGCGCCCTCTGCTCGCGCGGTGTCTCTCGGTCCAGAGAATGAAAAGAATGGACCATGGAGGGGTTGGGACGGGGATATATATATCCGACCATCTCACTCACTTTTTAATATATATATATATATAATTAATAGGTATACTTATCCGATCGATTGATAATCCGATTTTCGTCAAATTACTATTAAAACGCTCGATTTTAAATCGCGAACTTTCTAGCGATCGAAATATGGGTTTAGCCGAAATGGGATGTTACAGTTCTTCTCAACATAGTTTCATTAAACGCCTGCTAACCCCTAGAATTAGTACCATAGAAAACATGAGTTGTACTAGTTTGCGGCGGAGTTGTAGTCCTACAACTAAGAATAAAACTACGATTGCAAAAAAAAAAAAATGTTAAGACTACAAATATGAATGTGTCGGAGTTGTAGTCCTACAATTGCAAAAACACTACCTGAAAAAACAATGAATACAATTATGATTATACTACTGAAACTCATGGTTAGCATCATCCCATTATGATTAGTAAGCTAACCCATGTAAGTGAAAACTCCAAACTCGCTCACTTTTGTTTTTAGATAACGACTTCATTATTTATATACATATATGAGACATAATGCTATACTTTTGGAGTATACGATACTACAAGTACTTCTAGTGATATATTTCTATCTAGATCATGACGAAATCACATTTGAGGTATGATAACCATTTCATTATTTATATACATATATATGGGTAAGACTACTGTACTTCTGAAGTTATGATACTACAAGTATTTCTAAGGCAAAATACACTTGTATAGCCAAAACTTTCGCGTTAATGCCAATAATAGCCAAATTTAGGGAAATACCACTTATAGCCACATTTTTAAAACTTATTGGACTAATTTAGCCATTTCCGTCAAATACTTTAACACCGTCAACTATTCCGTCAGTGAAATGGACATTAGGCTGATGTGGCTGCCACCTAGACGACACATCATGTCTACATAAATTTTGCCATGCCACATGCCAGCCATGTCACAATTTAAAGTAAAAAAAATTGTATGTCATTCCATTTAATTTTAAAATCTCTTCTCCATTTCCTTCTCCTTCCAAACCAAAAAAAAATTAAAATAAGCAGAGGCATTGTCCCCTTCATCTTCTTCTTCCTGCCGTCACAAACCTTCGCCCT